TGATACTAAATGAACGGATTAACTATAATGTAATGATGCTCTAGATTGAGGGCCCTAGAGATTTAAACTTCGATTATACTTAGTATAGTTGTCATTGTACTTGTCAAATGCTTCCAAGTACTGACCTCCCCTTCACGGGGGAGGTCACCTCACAGTTTCAGGTAGAACTTGAAGGTTGCTACTACCAGCCGCTGTTCGGGAAGTTTCTGAGAAGAAGACTTGGTTCGTGCTTCTTCCGTTCTCGTTTTGAAAACAATATGAATAATGCTCATGGATAATATTTTCTGAATAATTACTTTGGGGGCTTGCTTGCCTAATTATGCCAAGTGTGGCTTGAACACTTGTATCAATTGTTTCCGCTGCTTTAATAAATGTTTTACATTATGTTTGTTTATGGATGTACTATGTGTGAATGGTATTCAAGACGCCTTGTATAGTATGGATGAGTCGGACTGCGGTTGACTATTCGTACTGTACGGCGGGTTGTTGACGTGTCCGGGTAGGTCCGGGGCGTGACACCAGAACGAGGAAAGCACTCGTCACAGAACAGCTCGAGAAAGACCCTCTGTCTGAGACAGAATCCAGTTCTGACTCCGACTCTGATGAGGCCTTCTGTTGCCTTGATACTGAGACAGAAGACCTATGCCTCATGGCTCATTCTGATGATGAGGTAACCTCTACTTCTACATCTAGTTTTTCTTCGGTAGGCTTAGCTTTTGATTCTAATTCAATGTCAGAATTTCGGGAAGAGTTTAAAGCCATCCAAGCCACTTACTCTTCTGTCAAAGAAGAAAACAGTAAGTTGAAGGCAGAGATCCTTGACTTAAGAAAGGAGGTTGAAATCAAAATCAATCTTCTCATTAAAGAAAGAGATCAGCTGGAAACCGAAAATGTTTCCCTTCTAAAGAAAGTAAGGAAAATGGAGTCAATCGAGATTAAGTACAACACCTACCAGAAGGCCCAGTCTTCAATGGAAAGGTTACTACTTGATCAACAAATTGGCGTTGGTTTTGGTCTTGGTTATGGCTCAACAGAATCAGGTGAGCCTTCTGTAATGCCTAGCACCAGTGTTGCTAAGGCAGACAAGGTCATAGTGCCACTGATTTCTAGCCCCATCTGCCAAGCTGGTGTATCTGGCACCAAGGTTATTCATGAGGAAGTCAGACCAGAAAAAGGGATGATAAAGGTTCAACAGAAACCATTTTTGAAAATTAATGAACATGGCAGAAAACCTAACAACAGAAAGGGTTTTCAGAATAACAAAAATAAAAGACAAATCATTAACATACAACCTCATGATAACCATGCCAGAAATGATCACCAGAAGGGCAGATATCAAGAGAGAGTTAACCTTATGCAGAAGAGGTTGGCTGGTCAACTTCAGAAGCCCAAAACTAACCGTCCCTCTGTTCTTGATAGTATATGGGACTTCTTTCCAACAAAGAAGCTATGCAAAAGTACGTAAAGAGGAAGCATGACCCTCACAAGCATCTGCCTAAAGTGAATCACACTTCAGTTTACTATAACTACCAGGTGGACAATGGGTACCATCCACTAAGGTTTCACTTGATGAGACCAAAATGGTACCAACTACCCAGACTCCATGACCCCCCAGGACCCAACATTGCTTGGATACCTAAATCTTTCTTTTGATCTTGCAGGAACTGTGTGTTGGAGCTATCTCAGTGCAAGAATGGTTTATTGATAGTGGATGCTCCAGGCACATGACAGGTGACAGAAGTTGCTTAATAGAGTTCCAGAAATGCAAAGGACCTAGAGTTACCTTTGGAGGTAATGAAAAAGAAGGTCAAACAAAAGGAAGAGGGAAGCTGATCAAGAACCAGATAGTCATTGATGATGTCTCATATGTCAAAGGCCTGAAGTTCAACTTGCTGAGTGCTAGCCAATTCTGTGACAAAGGCTACACTGTTGAATTCACAAAGGACTCCTGCTATGTGAAGCATGAGACAACAAAGGAAGTGGTTCTTACAGCATCAAGGAAGAAGAACATCTATGTGGTTGATTGGAAAACTGCAAAGGATGGAGTTTGCCTGACAGCCAAGGGAGATTCAAAACTAAGCTGGGACTGGCACAAGAAGCTTAGTCATTTGAACTTCAAAACAATCAACAAACTGGAAAGAAAACACATTGTTGATGGACTACCGGACATAGTATACAAGAAAGAGACCCTCTGCAGTGCATGCCAGAAGGGAAAGCAGCAGAAGAACTCTTTCAAACCCATTGCTGGATATCTTTCTACAAATCCTTTAAATATGATCCACATGGATTTATTTGGACCTGTTGAGACTCCAAGTGTTGGTGGCAAGAAGTACACCCTAGTCATGGTTGATGACTACTCCAGATATACATGGACCATCTTTTTGACAAAGAAGAATGAAACTCTTCAGAAGTTGCCATCTCTGTTAAAGCAACTTCAGACTGAGAAGAATTTGAAAGTTAAGACAATCAGGTCTGATAGAGGAACTGAGTTTGTCAACCAAGTCATAAAGGACTTCTGTAATCAAAATGGAACCTTTCACCAACTCTCTGCCGCCAGAACCCCTCAACAGAATGGCGTAGCAGAAAGGAGGAACAGAACACTGAAAGAAACTGCAAGGACAATGATTGCAGAATCTGGACTACCAATGAGATACTGTGCTGAAGCAATCAACACTGCATGCTATACCCAAAACAGGAGTATGATCAACAAGAATCACCAGAAGACCCCTTATGAACTTTGGAAAGGAAGAAAACCTAACATCAGTTACTTTCATATATTTGGATGCAAATGCTACATTCTCAACAATGGAAAGGATCATCTGAAAGTCTTTCAAGAGAAAGCTGATGAAGGTGTATTCATAGGCTATTCAAGCACCAGTAAAGCCTATAGAGTACTCAACAGAAGAACCCTACATGTTGAAGAATCTATACATGTAAAATTTGATGATAGCATCTCTGTTAAAGAAGTAACAGAGACCCTCAAAGAAGTCAACATAGAAGACAGAACACCTGAACCAACAGAAGAGGTAGCAGATAATCCTGCATTCCCAACACCTGCACCAAACCCCTTTCTGTTGAATGAAGATGAAGATTCAGAAGATGAAGAACCAGATAGACCCAGACAACAACTGACAGAACCTGATCTTACATGGTTAAGGGATCATCCTCCTAACCAAGTGATTGGACAAGTCAGAAGTGGTGCGCAGACCAGATCTGCTACCACAAGGAGATAAGCAATGTTTGCCTGCTATATATCTCAGATGGAACCTATGACAGTAGAAGAAGCTCTTGCAGACTCAGATTGGATCAATGCAATGCAAGAAGAGCTCACTCAGTTTGAAAGGAACAAAGTGTGGGAACTTATTCCTAGACCTAAGCATCACAATGTCATTGGAACCAAGTGGGTATTCAAGAACAAAGCAGATGAAGAAGGCAATATTGTAAGGAATAAAGCTAGGCTGGTAGCTAAAGGATACTGCCAAGAAGAAGGAATCGATTTTGATGAAACATTTGCACCAGTTGACAGACTTGAAGCCATCAGAATTTTTCTAGCCTATGCTGCCTACAACAACATCAAGGTCTACCAGATGGATGTCAAGAGTGCATTTCTGAATGGAGATCTTGAAGAAGAAGTATATGTGGAACAACTACCAGGTTTTGTCATTCCTACTCAATCTTCCTGTGTCTACAAGCTTAGAAAGGCCCTTTATGGTCTTAAGCAAGCTCCCAGAGCATGGTATGACACATTGTCCCTACCCCTAGTGAACCATGGGTTTACTAAGGGAAATGTTGACAAAACTCTATTTCAAATCTCTGTTGCTAATCATATTCTGTTAGTACAAATATATGTTGATGATATTATATTTGGTAGTACTAATCCAGAATTGTGCAAGAAATTTTCTCAAGTAATGCAGAGTCAATTTGAGATGAGTATGATGGGAGAACTGACCTACTTCCTAGGGCTGCAAGTCAAACAAGTTCCAGAAGGAATATTTATCAATCAAGGGAAGTACACCAGAGACCTGATCAAGAAATTTGGAGTAGAAGGCAAATCCTCAGTGAAGATTCCCATGAACACTTCTCAAGGAATTGGTCCGGATGATGAAGGCAAAGATGTTGATGCAACGACCTACAGAGGAATCATTGGATCTCTTCTCTATCTCACTGCAAGCAGACCAGATATCTCATTCTCTGTTGGAATCTGTGCCAGATACCAATCAAAGCTTAAGGAGAGCCATCTAAGTGCTGCAAAAAGAATTATCAGATACATCAAAGGAAATCCAAATGCAGGCCTATGGTATCCCAATGGAGGTAACTTTGAACTAATTGGTTACTCTGACTCAGATTTTGCAGGTTGCAGATTAGACAGGAAGAGCACCTCTGGTCACTGCCAACTACTAGGAGGAAGGCTTGTTTCCTGGTTTAGCAAGAAACAGGTTTGTGTGTAATGTATAGTTAAGACATACTCCTTTTTTATATATCTTTGTACAATGTATAGTTAAGACATACTCTGTAGTAATCATGTTTTGTGCCTCATTGAATTAAGAACACTTTTTGCTACCGTTATACCAAATTTTTACCAATTTTCTATTAACCAGTAAATAACCAGAAATTAAACTCTATAGTAAACTGAGCACCTTTTATTTAAAATTCAAATTATCATTTTGAAAGTTAGAAGACAATTTTAAAAGTTACTGCCCATGTAGAGGCAATCTAAATTTAGACAAGTGAAAAATATCAAGTCAAAATTAGCACACAACAATTTGGCAAGTAAATATGTAAATATTGGGTATCATTCGCACGTAGTGCGTACTCCGCTACTATACTTATATTTATCTTATCTAGTTTATCATGCTTTATCTTTTTTTGTTATGTTTCTTCTGTTTTTTATTCTGATATTATGGATCGATTTATGATAGTTCATCCCAATTCCCAAATATTTTTGGAATAAGATTTTGGGAATAACATTTTAGTCCCAAAAAAATACTTCGAAATGAGTGAAATAATTTCTCAGTCGTGTAGCCGTATCGCACTGCTTCGAACAAGGGAACGAATACTCTCGCATGTGTCTTACCGTGCGCTTTTACTTGACAGAGAAAAGAAACACGAAAATAAATATAAAAGCCCTAATTTCATCGAAGATGTTTCACTTCAATCTCGCAGATTCGCATTACGTATTCTCTCCTCGTTTCCGATACATTTATCCAATCAGATACTATTCGTTTTCCTCTGTTTACAGGTGCGTCCCCCAACTTACGCTCCGTTTCCATTTCTTATGATGTTTCCATTTCCATGTATGCATTTTTTATTATTGGATTTGGGAACTTGGCGGCATATGAATCTTGAAATTTGAGGACTGGTAGAAGGGACATTAGTGATCGTTGATCTGGATTAGGCATCTAAAATTATATATGCATTTGGCAATCTCATTTGTGGCTATCTTTGACTGTTTGTTTTTTTGGCATTGCTTATGTTATGATTTATCATTTATGTGTACAGAGTGTATTCCGGCAAGAATGGTGCATGTGCAGTTAGCCATTATACTTTTGAATAAATTTATGTGTAGATATGCTAATGCTTATGGAAAGTTTGTAATATGACTGTGCTATTCTGCTGTAAGAAATTTGTGGGGATAATTTTAGGAAGGAGAGGTTTCTCAGACTGTACTTTGTCAAACTTTTATTTTTGAGGGAAAATAAGTTTGAATAATACCAATGATGACCCTTCAACCAAGAATAGCAAGTACTACCTCCATCCTGGCTTAAGGTGTTCATTTTAAAATGACATGGTTATTTAGACAATAATTAAATAAAGTGATTCGAGTATTTTGAGAAGTAGTTTTGATGGGTATATAATATAGAAACATCATTGATGATAATTGTGATGTTATATGTGTATTATTTTTAATGTTTGATGATTAAGTTTTCATTTTCGAGTGCTAATCATTTTCTAAAATAGAAATGGGAGCCTTTAGATGGGATGTCCAAAAAGGCAAGTGAGAACTTTTAAAAATCACCTTCTATTTAATGAAAATGATACAAAGCCACTTCCTTACTACTACTTGAGTCATTTAACAAAAAAACTACGTAGTAGTATTTATCTATCAAATAAAGCGTATTTTCTGTGCTCCATGTCATATGCACCTCATGTTGTGGTTTTGGCATACAAGTAGTTGTATGGCTCTTGGATTTGGTAGAACAAAGGTCATTGAAACTTCATCATCTATTTGCTCATGTTGTTTCGCATGTGTGAACGTGGAACGCCAGACCTACATATGACTGCATCTGTTGTGCTGAGTATACTTTTAGTACTCACATTCAAGCATCATTTAGGAATTCAGTTTGATTTGGTAGAAGTTTTTGATGAGTTAGGTGATGTCATAAAGTGGCTCAGAAGTAAGGATTGCCCCTCTTTTTGGACCCAAGGGCGCTTGCGGGAATGCGGGCTGAATATCGAAATACTTGGTATCATCGATTCAACAAACGTGATGTCTAACTTACGTATCATTATTGGAGTATAGGTGATAGTTAATATTATTTAGGGTTATTCCACCCTTTTAATCTCTTTCAAGTTTTTTTTTCATTCATTGAAATCTATCTGATGAGTATGGTGTTGCCTTTGGTCTTTAATGTGAACAATGAAATACTTTTGTTCTACTAGACAAGTTTTTATTACTAGTTCTCGACTTCTCGCTCTGCCTCTTTACGGTCTATTTGTGTGGAGTCTAAGGAAGTGAGTTTAATGAAACTAGTGGGAACTATAAGGAATTGAGAAATATGGGAATGAAGAGAAGATTTTAACCTAATCCCTTTTAGGGAGACTATAAAATGAAAAAGGAAGAGTAAATGTAAGTGAACTACTAGTATAACTTACAAAGAAAAATGGTTCAGATGTTGAGTGCCAGGGGGACTAGAGATATAGTGATGCTGTTTTACAAAAGAACACGTCAAGTCCCTTACATCTCGAGTTGAAGTATAAGCAAATCGATAGAAATGAGGTGTAGGGAAGAACACCTACACTCCCCTACACCCTCTTCACTTTTCTTTCTTTCATCTCTCTGAACCCCCTGGAATCCCCTACCCTTCTTTGAATTACTTGAACCTCCTTACACCCCATCTAAAGATGCTGTTAAACTGTATTTGGTTTATCAGATGCCTTATCTTCTCAATTCTAAAACTAAATACTTAAACAAAATAAGCATATTTGCATTTGGTTTCTATCAGTAAAACACTCGTATAGATTTTTTTTATGAAATCCTAATATCCGTCCGTTTCTATATCATGTCTTTGTCTGGCTTGTGTATATATCAGCCACAACTCACAACAAACAAATTCATGAAGTCACCTTAGTTCCATATATGTTATTGATATGAAATTTATACAATCAATTAATTGTCAAAATTTTCCATCATTTGCAATGGAGCTGAAGATTCATTATTTTTTGGCTTGAGATTATGATGGAATAAAGCAAAATGGCTCACTAAACTATCTGCGCTTCTTTATTATGGAGCAGCAGTCAGTCCATGCAATTTTGGACGCGATTTTCACTATGGGTCATCCGGAAACAGTCTCTCTGTGCTTTAGTACAGGGGTAAGACTGCGTACATCTGACCCCCCTTACCCCACCGTAGGTGGGAGCCTTTGCGGCACTGGGGTAAATGAAAATGATGATGATGAATTAATTGTCAAAAAATTGTAAACACTACGTTCATGCGAAAAGTACAGTGTCAATATTTTACCGCAGATGTCCTTACTGTGGAAGCCACTTTACTCAAGATATAATTAGATCAAAATATCAAACCCTACAAATATCACTGTCACTGTCATAGATATTTTCCACTTGCAAGATAAATATGAGTAGTCTGATATTTGAGACAGTTTATGTAGTCATGTGGGATAACATATTTTCCACTTCTAAATTCCATTGATCCAACACATTCTTGATTTGTATAACAAACCTGTTTTTTTTCCTTCTGATGAAAGCTGGAAAGTGTGGTTATCAATTGTGTGTAAAGTTTTCTTTTAGTACATGATCATTCCGAGTCTACATTATATGGCAGTTGGGGGTAGGTAGGTTTATGCATGCTATTTATGGTAGAACTTGTTACAAATAATGTACTACATATTTTAATTTGGATGGCTTTCGCTGCTTTTTTATTGCAATGCCAACGAGAATAGTATTCCTTCCTGATTGTAGGCTTGTGGAATTAAAGCTGATATGTCTCCAGCATCTAGATCTATGTCCAAGGATAAAAGGGCAACTGCCAAAAAAGCTCCTAAGCCCCAACCAAAATCTTCAGGCCATGCAAATGCTGGTGGTGGGATCCCTACCAGTGGATACAGTCCTCTTTCTGGAACATTCCACACACTGGACTTAGCTCCCATATCTTCCGATACTCTTGTCAATGGTCGTATCCGAAACATAGAAGAGGCAGATGCTAACTCATCTGGAAACATTGCCGAGTATGATTCCATTTCCAACAGCGAAAGCTGGTCTGGGTGCGAGTCAGAGGACCATAATAAAGAGAAAATCTCTCACCCCCCTGCTCCAAGGCAAGAGACAATAGTACTACCCATTGCCGAAAATGAAAAGCGTGAAAAAATCCGTCAAAAGAATGAGAAAAAACATCAACGTCAAAAGGAAAGGCGGGGCCCAAGAATTGCATGAAAAGTGCAGTGGCTTTCTCATGTCAAGAAAGGTGGACACACTTGCTCAGCAACTCGTGGCGATGGGCTTCTCTCAAGAACGAGCCACCATAGCCCTTGTTCTGAATGAAGGCAGGTTGGAAGAATCGGTAGCATGGCTATTTGAAAGCGAAGAAGCAGATAAACGAAATGAACATAGAGTTGGTGGCGGTAATAATAATCTAAGGATCAATATATCAGAAGAGCTTTCCCATATTGCTGATTTAGAACTTAAATACAAATGTTCCAAGCAGGAGGTGGAAAGAACTGTGGTTGCTTGTGAAGGTGACCTTGAGAAGGCTGAAGAGACTTTGAGGGCACAAAAGCAGGAACCTTTTCTGGTCCCATTAAAGCCAGAAGAGAACAGTTATCCTCCTACAATAAGAGTTCCAATAGCTGCTGGTAGTCATTATCAGAATCCAATAATGGCACCGGTCAAAGCCCCTCCACCCACTCCAATTCAGCAGAAAACAGATGAGAAGGACTTTCATAATGCAAAAGTCACCATCACAGCAAGTTCTATAGTAGATCCGCAATTATTGAAGAGAGTTGGACCTAAAACAGAGTGGGCTAAGCCACCGCCAAAATCAATTGCGGTTACTGATACACGGTATGCAGGGGCAGGGGAAGGAGGATCAAATCCTTCTCATTCTCATTCTTCTTTGCAAGCCGCCACAACAATTCCACACACAAAGACAGAAGCTCCTCTGCATTGTAGTGTTGGGAATGAATTGAATAGTTTGCAGCAGCTAGGGAGTGTAACAGGGATGCAGCGACCTCAACCCAAACCCAAACCCATCATGAACAACTCCAACCGTATGAGGTCATCTCCACTTGGGAATGGTGGTGTGAGTTGGTATCCGAGTTTAGAAACGATGAAGCCAAGAGCGCTGATGCCACACATTCTTGGCTCAAGGAGTCTAAATTCCTCAAATGCTGCTTCCCGTACAAACCAATTGTATAATGACCAACTCCACTATCAACAACAGCCACTTGTTGTATCAAGCAATGGTGGCTCACTGGAGTCCTCTGGAACAAACAGGAGTGATAGTTTGTGGAATGTGCACCAAACCCTCGCTGCAACCTCTCTTCGGCCTTACTCTGGCATTGGAACCAATCCTCCATCCGGCCCCACATCACCACTCATTGACTGGAAACGCGGTTTCCCTATGCCGCAGTTTGATTACAATAATGTGGACTGGCGTTTGGATTCTGGGTCATCATCATCATGGAGATCAGGAGGAGAATGGCTCACAAATAACTCATATATGCAAAACAACACCAACACATATGATTCATTTACCAGTAGACATGGTGCCCAGGTGGCTGCTACTAGACCACCTATTTGGTCCAATGGGGTTTCTGCAATTCCTCAGACGCAGGGTGGAGTAGGCACAACAGTAGGTGGACTGCTGGAGCGGGCTTCTCCTTTTGAAGAGAAAGACCTTTCTGGATTATCCCGACCGTTCATTCATTCTCCTCAGTAGAGATGTTGAGTGAATTGGAAAAAACACCATGATGTGATTGGCTCATGTGATACATGCTTTTGTTCTCTGCTAATTGGTGGATCAATCTTAATGGAAAGGGCATGAAAGTACCTTTGTTTGCAATGTTCTTTCTGTATTTTTTTTTTACAATTTTAGCCTTTTGTTTTACATGTCGGTTCTGATGCAGTTCCAAAGTCCGAGTCCACCCTAGACGTAGCAAGGAAAGTGATTACTGCTACCTTTTTATTTACTGAAGGAACCCATACACAACTCATGAGGATTATTCAAAGTTGGAAAAAAATAGAAATTGATAAAATGCAAATAGAGAATTTGTGTTGAAGAAGTAAAGACAAATTCTACTTAAAAAAGTTGAAATAACTATTTTCAAGTAACAACTTTTACTTAAATTAAGCATTAAAAACTAAAAAATGGAAGCGGATGGAAGAGTGCATTGAACAACTTTTCACTTTTTCTATTACACAAAAACATTTTTTTCACCAAACCTACCAACTTTACTTTTTCAAGAACATTTGTTCAAATAATACCAACTTTTACTATTAAATTTTTTTTCTAAAATTACTTTAAACAATCACTTTTTAAAAATAGGAGGAATCACAAACACTCCCTTAAGATGTGATCTGCTAGTATCATACTATCATGTGTAGGGGTGGGCATAAAACCCGAACCAAACCGGTACCGAACCGAACCGGTACTGAACCGTCCCATAATGGTACCGAACCGAATATCGGGTATTTAAACGGTTCTATAGATTTTTATCCCGTACCGAAACCGTGCCGTTTGAAATGGGTACGGGATCGGTCCTAGATTTTGAGAACCGAAAAATACCAGACCGAACCGTTCTTAAATAATGCATTTGAATTTTTTAATATTCTTTCTATATCAATAGATCTAGACCAACAATTTTATACCCCAAATATGTATTCATGTGTCCCTAAGATATCTAAATTGTTTATATATATATATATATATATATATATATATATATATATATATATATATATATATATATATATATATATATATTGATGGATAGTCTACCCGGGGGTATGCATCCGAAGGGTCACTGCGGGGAATAACTAGAGAGAAGTCAGAGCAAAGTAAGAGAGAGAGAGTGTATTGCTGAGAATGTAATGTGCGAATTTAGCTTGGATTACAAATGGGGAAAAGGGGCACTATTTATAGTAGTAATAAATGTCAGATAGGGACACGTGTCATCATTCTGGTGGTCGAGGGGTCACCCCAACGGGGTGGCACTGACATTCGCATGTGGCCGCATTAAATGCGGCTGTTGGATGTGACGTCGTACTTGGTACGGTGATTCAGGCGCATGTGGAGAGGATATTATGTCGAGAAAGGTGCCCTCAGCTGCAGGTGATTAGCCGAGGGCTCTGAGTACCGGGGACCTCCTTAGTGCCGAGGGTTCTAGGTGCCGAGGGCTACTGATTTTCGCCGTTTTCTCCCAGTAATTTTGCTTGCTTGAGTTGGCCATCCTGTGAGAATTTGGAGCCTTCGGCCAGGGGGCCGAAGGCACCCCTAGTGTGCCACGTGGGTTGCTTAGTACTTGGGGCACTGTGATTTGGGCCTGCTGTGCTTCCTGGGCCTATTGGGCCTCCCTTAGAATAGTAGGAGTCTATGGGCCGGGGGTTCCTGGGCCATATACTCCATCAGGAGTCCGTCACTCCTTTTGCCGAAAGGTACTTGAGGGAAAAAGAGTAATTTGTGTTTGTCCTTTGGTGTTGTTCCGTTGTAGTTTGTAAAGCTTGTGGGTAGTTTGTTGTGTGCATGTTTCAGCCGAGGGCAGTCCCTCAGTTACCCACATTCCGGGACTTGAGGGATCATGCTTGTTGTTGTGGGAGTTTTTGACATTTTTTGTTTTCTGAGGTTTTTCCCGAAGGGGTTCTCGAGTCCCTCACTCCTTGAGGCACTTGCAAAGTGGTGAAAAGGAGTAGAGTAGAGCCTGCCTGTAATGTGAAGCCGAGGGGTGACGCTTTTCGTTTCATTTTGGGGGGATGCCTCGTTAAAAACCTCATTGGAAAAAACCATGTGGGAAAAAATTCCAATGAGGGAAAAAGAGTGCACCGAATTTCCCCAATGATGAGTCGAAAAGGTAAAACCCTGGTCTGAAATGAGTGGCACTATTCTTGCCGAAGGCTATCCTTGTCTGAAGGCGCGTGTGTTGCTTTGCCGAAGGCTCGCCTTTGATATCCTGGGGGATGCCGGGGGGGGGGGGGGGGGGGGGGGGGGGGGGAGCCCCCAATTCATGAGAATGAGGATGCGTTGAATGTAGGTGATATTTCATGTTCTGTCGAGGGGTCCGTTGTTTGTTGACGAGTGGGGGGCAGCCATTGATGAAGGCGTGCTCCCCCGGGGGCTACGTGGTCCTCAATGTGTTTGAGGGCTGAGTGTTCCCGAGGGGTGCACCCGTTGCGAAGCCGTGGGCTTCTGAAGGAGTGAGCCCGAAGGCACTTGTGATGTACTATGAGGGGCATTGGGCGGGAGCACTTCTGGGTAAGTGTACCCGGGGGCTCCTCTTAATGAAGTGGAGCGAAGGAGACAACCCGGGTTCCCAGAATATAGCCGTTGTAATATGACCGTTGGAGGTGGAGTCCACGTGGCGCGTGGTCGTTGGCTGCCTGTGGGCAGGCGTCAGCGATTGGGCAACTCGTCGGTTTGTAATGATGACTTTGTACTGGAGGCCCGGTTTTCAGGCCCAAACCCGGATTTGGGCGCCTATAAATACCCCTTGTGCGATTTCAGTGTAGCGAAGCTCTGCCGAATTTTCTAGAGAGAGAAACACCTGCCCTCAAACCAATTCTTGTTCCAAGGTCAGTTCCCCACCCGCTCTTCACCTCTCTTAGTTAGTTGTGCTTTGTGGCCTTAGATTAGGGGTTAGGATATCGTAGACAACCCTCAGTGTAGAGTCCCGTTTTCGTAGTATACCAAAAATGTCATCCCAGAGCGATTCGCAGGACATTTCGAGGGAGCCTTCGGTCGAGGATGAAACCGTCTCCGATGTGGAGTCCACAAGTGAACAGCCCTCGATGGGGCATGATGCCGCCGTGGCGATGGAGTTGCAGAGAGCCCTCGTTGCTGAGGTGGAAGCCGAGGGGTTCGAACAAGAATGTGAAGATGAAGAGCTGGCTCTCGCCTGGAAAGTGGCCGAGGAAGAGGCGCAGAGAGAGAGCATGAGGGTCACTGTCGCTGTTCTTCCCCCTCGCGACGCTGGTGAAGCCAGCGCCTCTCGGCCATTGAACCCGGCCCCTCTCCGGGTGGCCCCCGGGAAGAAGAAGACGAAGGCTGCTGCGTCCAAGAAGAAAGGCAGTGTTGCTGATCAAGGGAAGCCCGTCGACATGACCGAGGGGTACTCCTTCCTGAATACCGCCGCCCTCGAGATAAGGTCGAAGGCTGATGGGGCAGACTTATATGTTACCCAGCTCCATGTGGGGCCCTCGGCGACGGTAGTGCCACCGGGACCTGATGACGTCCTCTCCCGGGCCCCCGAGGGATGTATAGCTATTCACATTCTCTCGGTGTCAATGGGCCTCCGATTCCCTCTGCACCCTTTTCTGCGTGAGTACCTTCGGTACGTAGGACTGCTCCCCTGCCAGCTCACGCCGAATAGCCACTCGTACATCGTGGGGTTCCTCCATCTCTGTAAGTCCCGGGGGGTAACGCCTAGCTTGGATCTATTTTTCCAAAGTTTCAACTTGTGCCGGGGGGGGGGGGGGGGGGGCATGCGAATGCCGAGGGCTTCACGAACCTGCAGCAGGTGGCTTTGTTCAAGTTATTCACTGAGGCGCCCTACTCAAACAAAGGGTGGAAAGACCGATGGTGCTACGTGAAGCTAGCTGAGAGCTCATTCCCGAGGGAGCAGCGCGACTGGTTTAGGCGGCATGAGAAGGTGAGGAGCGCCGCCCTCGAGAAAGATGACAGGATCCTGGCTAAGATCTCGGAGGGTCGGAACAAGAATATAGCCATCAAGGAGTGCACCCAGGAGGAGGATCTGTATACCCTCGGGTTCCGGCGGTACACTTTGTCCTCACTCATGTGCACCCTGAGAAACTTCCCAGGGGGTCACCCATCCCAAGACTTCTCCCGTGCAAGCACGCTTAACTTTGAAGTTCTTGGCTAATGAGCTCCCTTAAAAGGAAATGCATCTTGTTGGTATGAGTAGTACTATTAATCCACTTAAATTAATCTCTGGTATTACATATGGCCTCCCCCCTCCAACCAGATATCAGAGTCCCCCTCCCTGCAGGTGTGGAAAGGCCATAATTAGAGGACTCCGAGCTGCTGAAGGAGGCCGGGGAAGAAGAGGAAGGGGCCGAAGGGGATGCCACCTTGAAAGCTGCCGAAGGGGGTGAGGCCGCATTAGCTAATGATGTTGTTGTCTCATAATTTGAAAAACATTTTGTTGTAACGTATATGTACAATCTTTCGGCTTCGGCCTTTGTGTATAACAAGTTTTTATTTCCTATTGATGAATGGATGTCTGCCTTCGGGCCTTTTATATATAATCTGCTTTTCCTTTTGGATGTATGCCTTCGTTTTTCTTTGAATGAATGCCTTCGTACCTTGATGCTTAGATTGTCAGTTGTTTGGGACTTAGAAAAATTTCCCTAGTGTTGTCCTCCCACCAGGCCTTCGGTTTTGTGGCCCCTCGGGCTTCATGGGTGTTTGACCGAGGGCGAAATATTTAGGACTTAGAAAATTTTTCCAAGTGTAATTTCACCAAACCTTCGACCGTGTGGCCCCTCTGGCTGCATGGAAATTTGACCGAGGGTCAAAAATATTTACGACTTGGAAAATATTTCTAAGTGTGAGAGCCTTGTCGTAGGTGTGCCTTCGGTTGACCGGTGACTCGACAGGGGGCAAAGCATAAAAAATTTTCTAAGTGTCAGAATATCATCTGGCCTTCGGTATGTGGGCATTTCTTGCTGCATGAAGTGGGGTGACCCTCGTTGCAATGTGAGTTTGCCGAGGGCCACACGCCTTATGACTTAGAAGTTTTTTCTAAGTATTTCCTGTTGCTGGCCTTCGGTGCGGGGACCCTTCGGCTGCCTACTCTGTGGGCCTAGAATAATTTCCCTTGTCTCGCAAGGTTGGCCTGTGGCAACAAAAGCCTTCGGCTGTTGTCATGTCTCCACAGTGTTGACTTAGGAAATTTTGTAGTTCAAGTGCAGCATAAAAAGACAGACTCCCTCGGACAATGCCTGGGTGTATGCCCTCGGCGTCTAGTGAGGTGCCGGAGGTGATTCTTTCTTGGACTTGGCCAACATCTGATAGCATTTGTTGTATATTGG